ATCGGTGCTAGACGCACGTCGCCTGCTGTAATTGTGAGAAATTCGAAGCGGCAGCAACAGCTGCCCAGTTGCCAACCTCGGCTCGCACAGCCAGGAGGCGTCTCGAATGGGCGGCTTGGCGCCATTGTTTACATGCCGGCACAACAGTTGCAGTTGCCGCATTTGCTGCAAATACTGCAGACACTTGCATGGCGTACGCGGCAGGTAGTTTAAATACATTGCAAAAATTGCAATTTTTATACAGAAAAAATGTGTTAAATAATAAACAAATTGCGACTTGTGAAATGTGAGCACAGCGACCAACAGCCGTTATGGGTGCTGCCAACCTGTGCGGCAAGCAGCTGTATGTTAATGTGCAGCAGCCCTGTTAATGCACAACAGCTGTTATGTGCCAAAATGAGTAAATAGTGTTAATTGGTGTGAGCAGAATAATTAAAAGGCAAAAAGTTCAAATGAACGTAACGCAAGCGTGCAAATGAAATGAAACCAAAATTCGCAATGTTCCTTGGCGCAGCTCAGCAAGCAGTGAGATGCTTCACATTAACTATAAATATAATGTTAACTCACTGTTAAGTCTTCAACCTGAACATTTTAAAGTATTATCTGCAAATACGGTGCAAAAAGGAACAACTATTAGCAAGGAACTTGTTCACAGGTTCAGTTCATTCATGAGCAATTTTTTTTTTTTTTTTTCTGTACAACTTTCTTCACGGCTACCCCTAATGCTTGAAATCAAAACAAAAAACAACTCGATTGGCAACATTTAATGAAAGTTAATTGAAATAATGTCGCAAAATCAGGTGATTGTGCTACAGGCAGGCTACTCGCACAACGATGCAAATGAGCCGAATGCAATGCGCGCCAACTGCAGCTGCACGCTGATACGCTGTCGCGATGGCAGCAACATAATTGTGGATACGCTAACCGCCTGGGATGGCGACCAATTGAAATCGTTGCTAGCTGCGCAGGGCTTGCAGCCGGCCGATATAAATGTGGTCGTGTGCACACATGGACACTCGGATCACATTGGCTGCAATTATCTGTTCCAGGAGGCGCGTCTGCATATTGTCGGCTCGTGTGCATCCAATCGTGATCTATACTTTGAGCATGCCGGCGCACTGGATGCGCATGGCGAGGTGCTGGTCGAGCAGACGCCTGGACACACGCTGAGCTGTGTCTCGGTCGTCGTGCACAATACACAGTTGAACGGCACGGTGGGCATTTGTGGGGATCTGTTCGAGCGGCGCGCGGACATAGACGATGCACAGATTTGGCAGGCAGCAGGCAGCGAGGACGAAAAGCGACAGGCTCAAGAGCGGCATCGTCTGGCCGAATTGTGCGAGCACATTGTGCCCGGACACGGGCAAATGTTTGCCCTTAACGCCGAATTGCGTAGAAAACTGAGAAGTTGTGTAGAAACAATGTAGCACATGGCAGCTGCTGAACGGTTCCAGGGGATTGGGTTTAGCAAGCTGTGATATTAACATTATAGAACGACTGATTTTTTTTTTTTTTTTTTTTTTTTTGTATTTTATAGGCGCTTGTATGTTTAATTCAAATTTCGTCTTGCACTCGTTTCGTTACAAGTTTTTTTTGGTCTCAAATTTTAACCGTTTAAGCGAAGCTATGTTTCATAAATCAATAAAGATATTGCCTATTTAAATGCGATACTGTTAGAAAAAGGTTTGGCTACTGCTTCAAAATTTCTCGTCAATTGCAGCAATAAGAGTTTGCTGCATAAAAACCGTAAAAAATTAAAACTATCAAATCTGAAACATAGCACCAGACGCCTACAGCTCGAGATAGGAAGAACAATTAACGAAGCAAGCCCATCCTATTGGCAGCCGGTTTCAGTTTCCCATTCGCATTTAAAATAACAAAAATCAATCCAAAATAAAACAACAACAACAGCAGGAACAACAGAAACAACAACAACAACAAGACAACAACAACAACAGCAACATCATGAGTCAGGCGTCCTCGAGTGCATTCAATACACACCGCAATCGGTATTATAATCCAGTCTCCAGGATACAATCGTTGATACAAAATCTGGATGCGGAATTGATAACCCTATGCAAACAATGTTCCCTGCCAAAGAATATCGCCAGCAATAGTCAAAATGGTCTCATATCACAGCAATCGGGCAGCCAGCATCATCAGACGAGCGTTAATAATTTATTATTGGCCCAGGCGCGCTCCACAACCCAATCGACGGCAACGGCCGGCTTGGCGCCGGATGCGCATAGGCGTCAATTGCGTAATACATATCGAACGCGTGTAATCGATGCGTATCGCAATCGTCGCATATTTACCGTTTATGGCAACTATCATACGGTTAGGCGAGCGCTTGTCCGCCGCGGCTGGCTAGAGAAATTGCCGGCTAGTCGGCATGCCAAGCTGCAGGCCATGTCCGAGGATTCACTGCTGGAGCATGCAAGACGTGGCAATGATTACGAAGCAGTTGTCATATCCAAAATGATCAACAATTTTCCATCGTTCTTCATTTGGCAGAGTAAGGCACAAAGGGACCTATTCCCAGAGGTGAAGCCATATCGTAATCGTGTGAGACGCAGTCAATTGCTTGACTTCTCCACCAAGGTGGGTCTGGTCGGTTGCGCCGAACAGGAGCGCTGGTTTCGTGAGGACGGCGTGTGCGGCATGAGCTATCCACGTTTCTATCGATTGGGCGCCAATAGCATGGAGGAGCGTGCGGCGTTCATTGAGGATTTCCATCAGACACAGGCGCGCTCTTTGCTACGCTACCTTAAGGAGCACCGTCCAGCCGACATGATCGACCCTGAACATGGTGCCGTGCTGAGCATTACGATTGACTTTGCCCTGAATAAGGTGAAGAACATGATCAGACAGAAGGAGCATTATTCTCTAGATGATGCGCGCATTAAATTGCCAACGCCCACTGAAATGATCGAGAACCAATCGTTCATGGTTCAGTCGACCAAGGTGCTCCACGCGCATGCCAAGTTCAAGGTCAACGAGAAGGTGATGGCGGAGTATGCGCGCCTCGCCGCACAATATCTCGATCAGATCGAGTCGCTCCGTCAGGATTATTGCTGGGATGGCTGTCGCAATTTGTGGATACTGAAGCCAGGCTATCAATCGCGTGGCATTGGGATCGTTATACGTAGCTCTCTAGATGAGATTCTGCAATGGACATCTAACAATCAGAACCGCAAATACATTGTTCAAAAGTATATTGGTGAGTTCAATGGGATTTGCCATTTAACTAAGAAGGACACAAATGCATTTTTAATAGAATAACTCCTTTGCTTTTGATCGCAGAGCTTTTAATGCTCTCTGATCATAATACTTTTCTCTTTAAAATGAATATAACTATTTTATTTACCATAAATAATTTAAATATTTTTAAAAATTTGTTAAGTAATATTTTCATGTTGCAAACAAATTCAAAGTATTGCAATTATAATTTTTATATATTTTTCTAAATAGCTTTTGGCATTTCTCAGAAATGTACCTTATTTACGTCAACTAAATTTGTTTTAATTTTTTTTTAATTACTTTTCTTTTATTTTCAGAACGTCCATATCTCATTTATCGCACCAAGTTCGATATTCGGCAATATATGCTGCTTACAATAAGCGATTCGCAGGTGACAATTTGGACATATCGCGATTGTTATTTGCGCTTTAGCTCCCAGGAGTTCACGATGGATGATCTGCGCGAATCGATACACTTAACCAACAATTCGGTGCAGAAGCGCTACAAGAATAAAGTAAATCGTGATTCGCGTTTGCCGAAAAATAATATGTGGTCATTGGATCAATTTAAATGCCATTTACGTCATGTGGGCGCACCGGAAGGGACATGGTCCAAAGTATATAATGGGATCAAACAGAATCTGGTGGCTGTTGTTTTGGCCAGCCTGGATGAGACGGAGTTGGTGCCAAATGCATTCGAATTATATGGCTGCGATTTTATGTTGGATGAGCATTATAATCCCATACTGATTGAGATCAATTCGACGCCAGATCTATCGGCCTCCACAGAGATAACAGCAAGAATATGCCCATTGGCGCTAAAGGACTGCATACGTGTCGTATTGGATGTGCCCAGGAATCCCTTGGCCGCAACAGGTCTGTTCGAGCGAGCTTTTCAAGTTAATTACAATGTCAACAAGGAGGTCGACGGCACCAGACCTCTAGAGCTGAACGGTACACAAATGAAACTATTCGATTCGATGCCAAAGCTACGGAATACTCCACGGACTCGCCTGCTGCGCAAAATACTGAACAATGTCAGGACAACGACCAGTCGTAAATTTGGCAAGGATAAAGTTAAAGCTTCATCAACACTGCCGACCAAGGTGATTGTGGGCAAACTGGCAATGAAGGTGAGACTCTATAATCCAACTATTTAATTTATATATATATATATATTAATTGGTTTAACCCCTAGAAACTGTCCAAAGGAAACTCGAGGGTTATTCACGTGGGCAACAAAACAACATTGAATTCAAAAGCGCGCGAGAATCTAGCATTACAATATACGGCACCTAAATGACAACATCTGGTAAGCAATTGCTTATGCAATATTATTTTTATTTAGGTTTAACTACTAATATGCCCTTATACTTCAATAGCATCAGGCAATTTGTACATAGCTCCAAGCTTTGCAACCATCTAAACTGCTAACAATCGACTAATTAACAAACTTGATATCCAATTCAATAATCAACAGCTTTTCCAAGCTATCGATCCGTTAAAGTCGCAAGCAAATTAGTAAATTAGTAAATTTTCAACAAAAATCTCAAACAATGAGTAATGAGTAAACGATTTATTTCAGAAAAAAAATCATAAACATATCCATGTTTTGTCGAATGCTATAGAATAAAGGTATATAAAACACTTAACAAAACTCCAATCATCGCTTTTTACCCGAACCACGCATTAAAAAAAAAAAAAACAGCTCCAAATTTAAATAATTTATTTTTTCATTTCATTTTGTTTATTTCCCCGCTCTTTAAATTTACAATTGAATTTTTTTTATCGCAAGCACGAAATTACTTAAAACATTCATTTTATTTTTTAAGAAAATGGTGAAGAGAATTCTAAAAAATGCTTTGGTTTAAAATAATATTATTTATCTAACACAAATTAGGTAGAGGCAAACTTTGGGTAGGGATACAAATTTTTATACGTAAATATGTAAGCCTGGTTCATGGATGTGAACAACCAGAAACTAAATTTAAGCAGTTGATTCGAATCGTGAACCGAACCACTGACTATTTTTGTTAAATGAAAATGAAAAAAAAAATTCCAGTCGTTCCTAAAAAATCCCAATATATGCTGCCAGTTGGAAAATTGTTAGGTTAATTTGACTTCAGCTGCTAAATCGAAAATTGTTCATGACTTATGAAGCCCTTTTAATATTTGAAGGAATTTACAATCTTTAAGGTACCCTGCTTGAGAAATTTTTTGTTTTTAAAAAATTTAGAAATGCATTTTTAGTAGACTTGATAAATTTATTTAGTTCCCAATTTCTGGATATTTTTTAGTTGGAAAAACGAAATGTATTCGTACTTCAGCTTCGGGAATTCAAAAATATTTGTCTAATTTGGAAGTAAATTTTTGGGCGGATTTGAAATCCAAGAGATTTCTTAAATTCGAAAATTATTTTGTTTGAAGTTCTTATATGTTTAGAATAGTTTTGGTCGTTGCATCGAAATGAAATATTTGAAAAATTTAAAATTCGATTTTTAAAATAGTTGAAATTAAATTTAAAGATACGCGATCTTAAACAAAGAGATTGTATTAATGCGAATATTCCGTTTGAATATTTGAAATTCTCTCTGTAACGTATAAACTTTTCCTCCATATGGCGGAGGGTGGTTTAGTGGGTGCTGTGGCTGCAGTGGGTGGTTGTGGGTGGTTCAACAAGTGGGAGGCGGCACTGTCAGCAATGTGTTAACGGTCAATTTATTGCTGCTGCTGGCCAGTTGTGCGGTGCGTGGACTAATTGGTGGCGTCTGCGAGAGCTGCAGCTCGCTGGAGGCCTGCTTCATGGCGGACACAATGGGCTCGCCACGATGCAGCGCCTGCACCGAGATGCTAATGGGCAGCCGGGGTCCATACGATCTGCGCCCAAAGGTGCGTCCAATGGCATGCAAGCTGGCCGAGCTCTCGATTTCGGATTTGGTGCGCGCAAAACGTTGTGAGCATTTGATGCCTTCTAACAGTGTGCCACGGGATCTGGAGCAGCTGTTGGCTGTCGAATTGCTGCTGCTGCTGTTGTTGTTGCTGCTGTTGTTGTTGTTGCTGTTATTGGTTATGCTGCGCAGGCTGCGCCACTTGCGCTCGCTGTTAGCTGGCGCTGTGGCCGGCGCACTGGGCGTCTCCTGTTTCTCGAGCAGATTATCTGAAGCATTGCCGGCATAATTTTTGATAAGTATTTTGAACTTTTTCTCTGTGCCCTCCGCATGTTGCTGGACAAAGCGTGGACCGCAGCTGCGCTGCCGCTTGGGTGGCAGCGCATTTGTGGCAGCTGCCTCTGGAGCGCCTGTGGTGTTGCGTTTGTGTGTAACGCTCAACAGTTGGGTTATGGAGCGACCCGCCTGCTTCAGCAAGTACGGACAAGGTGTTGTTGCTGCTGCGGCTGCTCCTGCTGCTGCTCCTCCTGCTGCAGGCACCGACGTGGGCTTGAGCGTAGGCACAGCTGTTGCTGGCTGTGTATTGCTGCTTATGCTGCTGCGACTGCTGCTCAATGGCTCCACCATATATTTCTCCATATATTCGGTGGCATTGAAGGTGGGCATGGCACGATGTATGCGCGATATATTGGCTGGCGGTGGCACAATTGCGGCACGTTGTCGGAATACACTGCTCGTGGCCAGGCTGCGCTCCTTGCGCTGGTGATGCTGCTGTTGCTGCTGCTGATAGTAGTAATGGCCATGGCCATGGTTGAGCTTGTGCAGCAGCTGTTTGCCCTTCACAAACAGATTGAGGCCCATGTAGGCGGGCGTGGGCGGCACCACCTGACGATAGGCCAGCTCAAAGTTGCCCATATCCGATTTGGGATCCAAGCGGCGATCAATTACGACTAGAACAAATTTTTAGTTAATATTAGTAGTCTTGTCGAGACGATCTAGTCCTGTTTATTCGTCAATCTTTGGCGTAATAGATCCTCCACTATCTGATCAATCTATTAGAACTAACCTATCATATAGGACCTAGGGCAGTAATCGTGGAACTTTGAGCATATAAAACGCATCTAAGATTCATTTTTTAATCTACGACAAGTCGAAGATGCTTTTGTACTCACCCTTGACCACATCCTCCAGGCATTTGGGACACATGCGCGCCGTTACGCTTGTCGTGGCGCCCAGATCTGGACTTGAATTAATTTCGATTAGCCACGGATAGAAGTTCTCGCATATCATGAAATCGGCGCCAAACAGCTCAAAGGTATTGGGCCGTCGATCCATATTCTCCTGAGATGCCAGCATGGTGCCCACTATGGCCTTGCGCATGCCCGGATATATGCGCTCCAGCCACATGTTCGATTTGCCAATTTGCCGCAGATAGGCCTGAAACGAATAGCAATCCCACATATTCTCGCTGGGCAGCCTCTTGTCCCGCTTGCCATTCGTATACTTCTTCTGTATCGCATAGTTTGTCAGATGCACCGATTCGTGATGGTTGCTCAGGCTGTACTCCTGCGAGCTGAAGCGCAAATAGCTCTCACGATAGAACCAGACCACCAGAGGCTGTGTGTTGGTTATGAGAAACCATTGGCGTATATCGAACTTGGTTTGGAAGACTATTAAGGGTCGTTCTTGAAGAGAGAGTTTTGAGATGAAAAATTAAGCTTAGGCGGACAGGTTTGTGTGGAGAATTATGGCAAGTATATAAATATTATTTGGGTTATTTTACGAACTGGGAAAGTGTAGCGTGTAGGTATTTTTTTTTACCATTGGAGCATCAATTAATATTTATATATTTCTATATAGTTTGAACATTACTTATATTTAATTGAAAGATTCTAAACAAATTCTTGCTGATTTTTAGTGCCTTGGATCAAACTTTCTTTTATTTCCTGGAATTAGGTCTAGAGTTGAGTCGTTAATCTCCAGTCGCTTGATTCTATGCCCTTGCCCCCGACTCTGTAGTCTTTAGACTATAAGTTCTTCTTAAGCTCCATTTACTAATCGCTTGTTTAACTCTTTACTTTCAACTCTCGAGTCGCAATTCTTCAGTCCTTTCCACTTAGTTATACTCTGGGTTTTTATCTCAATTCTCTGGCGCCTTATCTTTGGTTTCTAATATGTGCTCTTGACTATTTTGTGTCTTAGTCTCCAGTTTTAAGTCCCCACCCTTTGTTCTCTGCTTTCCTTGCTTGTAGATTTCCAAATTCTGAGAGTAGATTTCGATTTCTTCTCACCTTTATTGCACTCTGTCTACTCGAAACTCTCCTTTCAACTTTCTGGGTTCCATTTTATGGCCTGTTGCAGCTATAAACCTGTTGCATGAACTACTTATTTTATTGACAACAAAAACCCATAAAACAAATTCGAAATTCTATTCACAATCAACAACAGCCACAACTACGAGTAGCTGCGCTTTTTAGACGAGTTTGTATGCATTTTAGATTAACATTTGCATACATATATGCATATTTTTTTGTATAGGTATCTCTGTACAATTGTGTGGGGCATGTGCGTGCCATGCAGTCACGGTTAGAAGGAAACTTGGTGGGTTTACGCCCAACTGACAAGGCATCAAAAGCAACAAAAACAACAACAACAAGAACAGTCACAACAATGTCAGCGCCCTGATTTTTGACCCACTTTTGCTGTGTTTGTTTATATCGTTCTATTTCAGAGCTGGAATATATTTAGTAGCGTACGTATTTTTGGCGAATTTTAAATAAATCAACATTTATTAAAGTTGTGGCAATAAATAGAGTATCACAGAAACAGTATAGATTTGGAGAAATTTCAGCGATTTGAAAATAGGTTAACCATCGCATTAACTCTTTCATTAGAGTTTAAAATCTGTTAAAATAAGACTGCTTTATACTGAAGACACGCTGCCATGTACATAGCTCTTGACTAGTTTAGAAACCGCATTCCCAGGTTATCTGGGAAAGGGTTACCCATTGGAAGGCATACTCTTTTCTTCTATAGTCTATCTAGAGAATTTAAGTTATTTTGCATGGGTATCTCGAGGCCAAGCACACTTCAAGCTGTTTACAGGGTATTTCCTAGCTGGCATACCCATTTTAATTCATGGTTATGCAATGATAGTTTATTTTAAGTGGGTCAAGACCTAAATCAGTTAGTCTTTTATAGGGAACATTTACAGGGTAACTTCTTTATGTCTATCCGTGGTATCGTCAGGTCAAGCATTCTATATTCAGAATTTTATTCAGAGTATTTTATGGTCGAGCGTTAAATTTCTAATACTTCAAACTGTGTACAGGGTAGCTACTAGTTGACTATGCTCATTTCTATACTACTTAAATGTTTTATATTGAAATTTCAACTTTGAATTATTTGCTAATCTAAAGGGAACAGGCTTACAGGGTATCACCTAGTCGACTTTGAGCAGTTTATTTACTTCCCTTGCTTTATAAGCTTATCTGACTCAAAATACATCCCGTACAGGGTATCTTAGTGGGCAAATATTTGTAAAACAAAGTCTGAGATTCCTCTCTTGTTTTCCTTCTTACATACCTATGTATTTTTGAACCACATAGCGACTCTTGGAGGCAATCGATGGATTCACCACGCCCAAGATTTTCTTGAGGTTATCCATTAGTAATATGCCACGCCCACGACATTTATTTGCCGGCTTGACAATCCACAAATTCTGATAGCCATCCAGGCTGTACTGTGGCCAATGCACCTTCATTTTCTCCACCAGCGTAACACAGCTCTTGACCATGTGGTCGAGCGTACGTTGGCCATCGTGCTGGATGCGTCCATCCTCGTTGACCAGCTGCTGGTGCTGGTAGAGGAACGCATCCCAGTCGTGCTCCCACACTTTGGGCGGATCCTCGTAGTCAATGTCATTGTGCTGACAGCTATCGATGTAATCGACCAGACGCTTGTAGGCAAAGTCTATCGAGGAATAGGGTATCTTGCCGTTGGGCGAGAATACTGAATCGGCGCCATGTTTATGATACCTGCAGAGCATGGCCCGCAGATAGGCCACGCAGGCGGTTAGCTTGAAATTGTCCACGAATTCACCCAACTCCTCGGGACTCCAGACATTGTAGCAGCGCGGAAAATACATCTCGGCCATGCCCTCCTCGAAGAACCAATGAAAATCGCGAAGTTGACTGCACAGACCCTCCTTGGAGGTGAATGGCGCACGATGGAATTTATTAATGGTCATGCCGGGATTCTTGGCCTGATCAATATAATCGCACTTCTCCTTACGATTGGTCCACAGAAAATCAACGGGCATGTGCTCCAAGAATCTGGACATTATATTCCGCTCACACTTGAGCACATACTGACGCCTTGTTTCGCCCGCCTTGCGTTTGGGCAGCCGCTGTGTCAGATCCTCATAGGTCATCTGGCCCAGTGGCACAACCTTGCGATGCATGTCCAGCTTTTCCACCCAACCCCGTGCGAGCAGAGCATTACGCACCGAATTGAAGCAGCCGCGTATGGTAAAGATTTTGTTCTGTTTGGCCGCCTCCTGGGCCTTGCGCCTCAGTTCGTTCATGCGCTCCGTGGAGATCCAGGCGCGACGTGCCACATAATTGTTGGGTGCGCCCTGCTGCCGGCTGGCACAGTTCTCCTTGTTGCACTCCTTGTTGTTCTCCTTGTTGTTCTCCTTGCTGTTCTCCTTGCTGTTCTCCTTGTCGCTCTGCTTGTTGTTATTATTGTCCGGTTTCTGGGCCGGCACCCGCGCTGGCGTTAGCTGTATGCTGGGCACTGTTAATGCGGCTGTTGTGGGCGTCGCTGTGGGCGTGTCTGATGTCCTTGCCCCATTGCACGATGTGGCACTCGAGCATTTGTGCTGCTTTAGTGCGCCGTTGTGCTGCTCCTTGCTGCCATGTGGCTCACTGCTCGGACGCGTCTGCTTTTGGAGCAACAACTCGTGCATAGCGTACCCGCTGAGCTATGCCCCACGACTAATTCGTGGCCAGATGCGTTTGGCTAAGGAAATGCAAATTCAAATGCGATTTGCCACTCCGAACGCAGCGCGAATCGCTGTCTGACTAACTGACAAATTGCCTGACTGGGCCACTGGGTGATTTGGGGCCAGAGATGGGCGCGATTCGTGCTTACTTTCTTGTTTGCACGAAACAAGCACGCGTGCTCGGGCCTCGAAATTTATTTTCGTGCGTGCTGGCGTCACATCACAAAAATACGAAAAGTAAAGTAATGAAAAGGCACGAACTTTCGTTAAAATTAATCTAAGAAAATGAAACCAAAAAAAAGTCTAGCTGTCGGTAAGATTATTTCTTATTTAACAAGTTCTGCATTTTTCGTGCTCGTGCTTGGCCCGCGCTCAACTCTAAATGGGGTGTCTGTGTGTGTGTCTGTTAATTTTGACTACGGGTGGGCCTCATATGGGGGCTGCCTGGCAACCATTTGAGCCAGTTGAGTTCATAACTTCAGTTTCGGCTCAAACGACTCTATTAATAGCAACAAAGCCAGCCAAAACTCTTAGGTAGGTGCTCTCCCATCCGGAGCGGGAGCGGAAGCGAAGACGAACGCTTTGAAGGAGCTCGAAACGCGTCATAGCCATAAGTGTTTCTCGTTGAGAGTTAACATTGGATTAGGTCGACTTGAGTGAACGTTTGTTGGCCTATCTCCGGACAGACTAGATTTGTGTGTTGTGCGACCTTAGTGACCTTGGGTCATCAGTGGGGCTTATAGAAGGAATTCTCAAGAATCGGTATGAATTTAAGTTAGAAGATGATAAAATAACATAAGTGCTTAGTGGGCCTACAAAAATTATTCATGATAGGAAATAATAAAGGATAAAATATAACTTAAAATTAAAACAGACAGTCTAAGAGAACAGCGAATGATTAGCTGAGCTTAGCCACAAACAAAAAACTATCCTAGTAGACGCATTTCAATAGCTTAAGAAAAATGTAGGATACCTTATATGATATACTTAGTAGCACCATGCGAAAACAGGGTATGATAAAAACGAAATCAATGTAAATTGATCAAAAGCATCAGACAGGCTTAAGTTAATTTTTATGGCACGAAATCCAATTTGATTATATACACACAGATTTAAGACAATTATAAATATATAATTTGAAGATTTATGATAGCGCCCAAGAAAGGCAGCTTTGATTCGCTTCAAATTACAGAGAGTACATGGATAAAACTCTTTACGGAATTTTTCTTACGAATTTTCTGTTGCCTTTTCTCAGAGGAACTATTAATGTTGATTTAATATAAAGCAAAAATAGGGGATTTTAAATGCTAGCTTAAAAAAGCAGAGTCTATCGTCGTATTATTGAAAAGATGAAGAAAAGAATTGCATATGATTAGTTGGGGTTTTTTATTTTTCAATTTTTTATAGTGCTTTGGGCTTAAATAAATAACGTGCACTGAGGGAAGATAATATAATAATTTTCGAAATTGGCTACCTTTGCAGATATTAAAATTATTCGGCTAGGCTCCAAGGAAAAATAGTGAAGCTCAGTCGTGTTCTGACATTAAATGCAACTTGCTTGTGCTCACATCAGTTGTTGTTGTTGTTGTTGTATTGTTGTTGTTGTTGTCTTGTTTTGACTTCATGTTGTGGGTGTTGTTTGGAATCGGCGTTTGTCGTCACAGGTGCTGTGCTGCCAGGCCAGGCCAGGCCAGGCCTTGGTGACGTGCGCGGCTCATATGAATATGAATGCTCGTTCGAGCGAGAGAATTCGAGCTGGCTTGTGGATGGGTGTGCGGGTATCGTCTATTTGCGCAATTTGTACAATTGCGGCCTTTTCAATTATTTGTAAAATAATCAAGTTAACTGTCACCGCAAAGGGTTATCAGGGATTGAGGCGGGGGTGGGCAGGCTTTACGTCAGGCAATTCAATGCTTCCCATGGCTTTGTCTATTTTTCTTTTTATATTATTTTTAATGTGGGGTATTTGGTTCAAGGACGTCTCAGCCGCAAAACTTAATTTGCGGCAAGTTTATGCACAGGTTGCGACCTGCTATGACAGGTGGCAACTGTGGTATTGGGTGGTTAGCTGCTGGGTTGTTGGGTGGTGCCAACCAAACCACACGGCAACACCTCACATACGTCAAGCCGGCAGCGGCGGCGGCGGAACTATGCCGCTTGTCGTGTCCTTGCGTGTTGTTCAAGTTTTGCGAATCTTTGGCTCAGACTATTTTGTTTATAGATTACCTGGTATTTAACGTATAGAGCGAGATACCTTTGCTGCTTCCTTGTTGTAGTAGTTGCAAGTGGAATGGTAATTAATTTCGCTTCAATCGCTGAGGTAAATAAAATCTGCAAGAGTGCTTTTGTCGGGAGTGCCCGACTAGGCGATACCCTGAATCATTGAACATATTTTAAATACTTACATAAAAACTCACACACACACATACTCAAACACAAGTCGCACAGTTTAGACTCCGACTGTGCTTCTTCTTGCCTCAGGACAACTCTATAGGAAATGTGATTTTTAATATCTTGGGTGTTAATGGCACGATCTTCTGTTCTGCCTTTAAAAGTACGAGTTTTCCAATTGGAAGATAATGAGTCCTTACCATAAATGTGAATGCTCTACAAGAGCCGATTCTAAGATGCCTCTTTCTGCCCGTTACATTCGTTTGCCCAAAAACATCAGACCCTTTTTATACTCATTTCCAATGGGTTTGGCGTATAAATAGTTTTGCGGCAGCTTTATCGCTCTGGGGTAATGTGAGGCAAAGCGCTCTATAAACTTTCGCCCAGTTAAGGCGGAGTTGTTTAAAAGTTGCCTATTGGGGTCAGGGGTGTTTACGATTAAGCGGGGAGGAAGACTGTAGAAGGAGCGATGAAAGTGATATGAACTGTGCTATAGGACAATAAATAAAAGTTAAAAACTTTTAATTGCAAGAATTTTATTCGAAATAAAGTAAAAGCTTACGAACGTTTAAAATTGGGTCATTTCTTTGTAATCATGTAATCCGTTTATGGGATTAACAAGTTATTGAAATTATTGTATTAAAAATTTCGCATTGGTAACAATATATTTAATAGTTTCGTTGGTGGTTTTGCTTATTTTTTGGATTCAATGAAATTAGAATATTATGTTAAGCTAAAGAATAAAACCAACTTTAGTAACTTTTTCGAGGGAAACTTTCCGAGTAATTAGTTGGCTTCCGAGCTGCACTCCACAACTCCTAGTTAACTCAACATTATTGAATCATATCAAGGTAAATAAATATATACCCCTTTCTTATATTTAAAAGGTTTTTTCGTTAGTTTCGAGAGTTTTAGTCCGAAATCATAGAAAAATTGTGATCTTTAGCTATTTTTAGCTAACTTCTTATAATTTCAATATTTTTTAAAATTTCTATTTTCCTTTTTTTAATAAACATGGTTTAATTTCTTTATGAATGGGTCCCAAAAACCTGTCTAAGCTCAAAACCGCTCCTGTTTGAAATGTAAAACTTACGCACAATGCATTGAACCCAAAGCGCAATACTTTGCGTTAATCGAAAGCTTTTAGCTGAGCAGCAAACGCATGGAAGCTTTTCGCCACATGCAAAAGTTCTGCGAAATCATAACAGAGAGACAGAGAGAGAGAGACAGAGACAGAAATGAAGTCCACTTGCCCATGATGCTCGGTCAAGCCGAACGAAAATGGACGAGTGCCGAATATCCATGCACGAGCGTCTCGCGCCGCGAACCGAGCACCGAGCGCGAGAGCCGAGCGCCGCATTTGCCGAGTGGCGACGATGCAACAAATATAAAATTCGAAACGCTTGGAAAATGTGAAAACATTCATAACGGAAAACTCCTGACGTTCGGACGTGTTGCGTCGTGCTTTCCATCTCTGTCCACGTCTTTCGCTGCTTGTGTTTTGTGTATTATTTCTGTGAGCACGCGTCTTGTTCTTTTCGCGCTCACCTCGCTTCTTACTACACTTATCTTAAAAAAACCAAAAAAAAAAAAAAAAAACAGAGTAATTTGTGAAAAAAAAAACAACAAAATTCTCATTCATCTAATATTTGCGTTAATTTGCCGCGTCTTGATTTTTGCATTGTGCACAACCTTGAAGATTTGCGCGCTGGAAACAAACAAATTGTCAATTTTACAAGTGCAATAAAATTCAAGTATTTTTACAATCGCCATTTGCAATGTGACTTTTTAAGTGTGCGTGACCCGCCCGCCAATTGTACTTTGTTGTGTTGCCAAAAAAAGTCAAAATAATAATAATAAAAACAAAACAATAATTCTTGCAAAAATCTCGAATTGATCAAAGCGCTGCTGCCCCAAATAATAATAAAAAAAATTTGAAAGGAAAACAAATAAAAAATCTGCAAAGTGGGTTTTCAACTTGAATTTGGATTATTGCGAGGGAAGAGCAGCTGCTGCCAATACCACGAAATGGGCACCATTGGTGAGTACCTCTATTCAAAATTACAACAATTTATCCCTAAAATTAAAGCAAAAAATTTATTTATGTTTATAAAAGAAGTATGTTACAATTTTTTGCTAAATTTAGATATTTTTTATTCGAATTGAGAAAAAGCGCAAAATGAAGCTAAAATTATATGAAACTCTACAATAGTAACTTTTGCTAGATTTGAGGATCAGGGACCAGCTAAAAGATTATAAAACTACTTTAAAGTGGACTGCGCTGACAGGAGAGAAATATTATATTAATTTGTTTTATACTTAAATTAAAATATTGTATATGAGGTCTAGTTTTGGGGGTCCCAGACCAGAGTACTTATGCTACGAACATAACCAGGATTTCTAATAGAATTGGAATTAAATCTTAGAATTAACTATCAGATTTTTATTTATTTTTGTATTCAATTGAATCAATGGGACTTCAAAATTGAATACTTTAAAAATGTTATAAACGATTTTATCTTTGGAAATTTATGAAATCATTTCGGCATTGAAATTTGGACAGCATAAATTTTATTTCTTAGAATTCAGTTGCAATTTCTATAATTAATTATGGTATAGCTTAATGTGAAAAGCCTTGGTTAATTATTAATTATTGTTCTATTTTATAGTAATTTAAAGATGCCACAAAAAGTGAGCTGAAAAGTAATCTGTTTAATCTGTTTTTGTTGCTTGAACACAAAACTTAATAACATTATATAAGTAAACCCCATTGAAGCAGTCAAACAATGTGCCGGCGAAAAAGAAAGGAGCAGAGATTTTATTCTACTTTTTTTTTTTTTTGTTCAATTATGACATGTGGGCGTTGTCCAACAATGGGCGTTGCCATATCCTGTTTGTGTGTCTGTGTTTGTGTTTGCTTTTCAATTATCCTAGCTAAAAATAAACCAAGCACGCACAACAACAGACCCAGCCGCAAAACACAGCAATAAATTGGCGCTTTTCAACACTCGCGCGACAAAATGCCAAACGACGTCATTATGATAAACATGGTCTAGGTTCCGGCCGCTAATTCTATCAAAATTCTGTTTATCCAAATAAAAAAAAAAAACCAATGAAAAGTGAAAAAAAAACCTGAACGACCTAAGTCATAATCGAATGACGCACGCAAATGCGACGGCTCTGATTTGTATGCTATAGTTAAAAATAAACCCTATAGACACTATATACATACATAAGTGTGTGTGTGTGTGTGTGTGTGTGTATTTGTCCAACGTGTTATCCTTGAACAGGCAGTGTCCTTTCGGTGGCGCACCTCTCACCGCACCTCAGCCGGCCATCTTTTGAGATACAAATGCGCTTTGATTGCCAGCCAGTCGTCGGAGGAGGAGGAGGAGGAGGAGGGGCAGCAGACAGTGGCAACCACTTGGCTGAATGGGTTCGTTGTGCCATGGGGACACAAGTGTATGTCAGGCGGGAACGGGAATGGGGTCGGTTTTAGAAGCGGGGATTTTCATCTGAATGTTGCTACTTTGTATGCCATTTGTTGTGCGTGTGTGCCTCTGCCGCTGTGTGTGGGTGTGTTCTGTGTATGCTTGCCTCTATGTATTAGACACGCTTGATATGCTGCTCAATGCTGTTTGCCTGTTTGCCAGCCCGGCACGGGCATCTAAGCGAATTTCTCGTTTGCGTCACCCAAAAGTTCAGAGTTGAATGTGACCATCGATTCTACAAAAGCCATTGTCTTAACCAACACTGTGCATTGCGTTTTTGCAACAAATTACGTTAAGTGTTAAGTAATGGCAGAAAATAATTTGATTTCTGCTTTAAAACAATCTTGTCTTTAGTATGCTTACAAAAATTGTTGGTAAAGTTAAGCTAAATCGTAGTTTAGCTGAAGGAAATATGGCATGCAGTTACCTTTATAAGTATATTCTTGTAAAAGAGATGTTGCCAGTATTTGTAAAAAATGTGGCAGTGTTGTACAACGCCTAGGCTTGTTATTCCAATGCTTTTCCAACATTTGTCGCAGCAATGTCTTATTTGAAAATAAGGGGCAATGTTTAGTTTTATAATGGTTTTTCATCATAATGTTTTACTACACTTTGACTACAGTGCTAAAAAGCCTTTTTAGTGTTGTAAAACACGTAAGATTATGCAAAAATAGATGTTATGGCAAAATTTGTTGGACAATTTTAATTATATATCCTAGTTATTTATATTTATATTTCACACTTATAAGTATTTTGTCCATTTGATATAGCGTGGCCCCGATATATACCCTTAGTTTACTAACATAAAAAATTAACATTTTATTCATTTAAATATGTCAGTTCAGTATGCAGACCATATTTTCTTTGATAACGTGTCTTATTCGAGGAGTTTGTGTTAGTACCCAAATCATGTAGCTCAGTGTAATTATGTGTAGCTGCTTGGATTTACGTATTTGCACTTGACATTTGCGTAAAGTTCATCGGTAAATTGTTGTCATTCGCAGCAACGAAATTATAAACCACAAAATTTATATATATATATATACGCACATCTCTGTAAGAGGAAGCCAAAAATTGACAAACCAGTGAAAGATCGCTGAAGGTCGCTGCTTAATAAACAGATTCCATTGACTCAAATATTAAGTACAACAATAATACATAGACAATTACGGGAGAACATTACGAGCACTTAATAACAATAAATATGATGGCAGACAATGGCCACGGTTTCTGGATTAAATTCAGCTAATGGCCAAGTTAATGACTGCGTTAAGCCGTAAGCAAATATTTATAAGGACAATGAGAATGACGTTGAATATAATTTCTTTTCATTACCCTCGAGTGTATGTGGGCATAATAATTTTATCATGAACTGTGTAACGCATAGAAGCAGACAACCCCATAATGTATACATATGCTAGCTCAGCATCAATAGCCATGTCTGACTTCTCTTTAAACTCGTTCAATGAAACCATTTCAAACTTTATTTCAAAAGTCACTGGCAGCTTGTTTTAGTGTTATTTTTAAACTCTGCTAACATATTTTAGATTATCGATCTTGTCATGCATACACTCTACCTTCACAATGGGACAGGTGGGTTTCGGCTGGAGGCATTTGCAGTATACGAAAGATTTCATTAGAAATTCGTGAAAATCCTCATTGTTGCTGTCCGCCTTGAGCAGCTCGCGATAGTCCTCGACGCTCTCCAAACTAATTGGATCCAATTGATGCATGTAGCATTTCATTTTGAGCACTGCCGAATAGAAATAATTAAAGATATCGATGACCATTAGCTTGTGGCATTTGATGCTCCGATGATGTTTGTCGCCCATTATGAATGGCGTCTCCAGGCTGTGATCCAGTTGATTGTAGGCCTCATAGAATTTCTTACACTCCACATTGATATCTAAAATGGCGTGTTTCATGCTATTGCTATTACATGGAATTATTTAGAATAGTATGTTATTCTATAAAGGTATCATATTTGAAGACTTTACTTGGAGCAGCGCATCACTTCCAGTTTCTCCTCGTATTCATTGATGATCGCCTCCTCGGCGGAGAGTGTATACACCTCGGGATAACGACAGCCTGGCGCCGAGCTGATCAGTATCAGATAACGTTGGGTTAACAGCCACAATCGTTCGATAATTATTTTCTGTGTCTCGAGTTCGCATAAATAGAACTGATAATAATCACGATAACGTTTCTCCATATCCACCAATAGACCCAAGATTTCTGCCTCCTTTTCGTAATGATCTTTCAGCTGGGGCGTCAAATGGGCTTCCTCGTCCTTAGACATGATTTATTTTGTGCTGTTTGCTGTTGTGTGTACAACTTTTATACAAAATGAATTTTTTTACTGAAACGGAACACAAAATGCCGAGCATATCAGACTAAGTTTAGTCTGTTAATTTTTGTAGCTAAACATTTAATTAATGTCCAAACGTAAATGTTCGCTATCAATTAAAATCAAGCCCATCAATATGCATTCGACTTTGATGTTAAACTAATTTGTGGCCGTCAATAAATTAAGTTAATGAAAAAGGAAGACAAGTATAAGAAATTTGAATTTAATGCTTTGTGGATTTAGTTAAATAAATATATGTGTTCTCCTTTGGGAAATAAATGGGAATTATTTGAGTCTAGACGAGCAGCAGATACCCTTTAGAAAAGTCTTTCTTTTGGATGACAATTGTTTTTTATATTATATATATTGTGTATGCTTAAAAGTTTAATATGTTTAAATTTAAACAAAATATAATATAATATATAAAATATTTAATATAATTGGAGCTCCTATAGTAGAATAAACTGTTGATGTAAATTGATAATATATATCTCCATATATAAAACTGTTTTTCTGACTGACTGATCGACTGACTGACTGATTGATTGACTGACTGACTGACTGACTGACTAACATACTGACAGACTGACTGACTGATTGACTGACTGAATGCTTAACTGACTGACTTACGAGTTATTTTTTAGACTGTGCTTGTTTTACGGTTATTCTTTATATCAATATGATACCCCTTTAAGTATATTTTTTGTGTAGGGTATGCGTAATAAAAAAGTCAAGCGATGCGCAGCATGCAATTCACATAAATCGATTTAAAATAGATTTGTCTAAAACAATTAATATATCACTAATACGTCACGTTGTACAGCTACATGTGATTGCCGTATCATATATGTATATATATATATATAGAAATCTGTGAATTTGTTAGCGAACCAAAAGTCAGTCGAGCAGTGAATATATCTTCTGATTGATTTCGATTAGATACAACATTTTGTGGCTTGCGAAACCAAAAGCGTAATTTGAAATTAGCCAATTTCAGTTGGCCGCCCAAAATGGCCACTTTGGCTGCGGCCACCCAGTTTGCACGTTTGGAATTCAATAAATTTATGCATATATCTATATATATTTCTGAAATGCGTAAAAAGTATTGGGCAATGGGCATAGAGACTGGCAGACAGACAAAGAGTGAGATAGATAAGGGGGAGGCAAGAAAGAGAGGTGCGCATTTATGAAGTGCGAAGCCAATTGCCGCTTGCAAAATTTCAATAGTAGACACTGTATATAAATAGCTATAAACATATGGCAGCATTTAGCTAACCTCCTGCAGCCCTCCACTCCCCTCAAACCACTTTTGAGCAAACAAAAAACTAGCATTGCTCATTTTTTCGAATATTTCAAAATATTTCTTAATATTACACAAATAAACAAATGGAATTGTTGTTTACCAGGCTTTGAATGCGTGCGTTAATTAATAAATTATAAATATGGTTAAAAGCAAAAATCAAAGCAAATGCGAATTAATTTTATGCTCTATAATTTTTAATTGCATTTTAATATTTTTAATAATTAGCGACAGGTTTCTTTAAATTTATTAAATTGATTTATGTAATTAGGTTTTTAGGACTTCTTAAATGTCATTCATATGATTTAGTTTTAATTTTATAAAAAGGTAATAAATGACAAATTTGGTTTTACTTTTCCGTCTGTAAACGTAAAGAGCCAAAAGTGAGAGTCGTAAAAAACATAATTAAAGTCTATGAATTACAAAGGATTTGAAATCTGGAAGAACATTATGGAATCCTTTGTTCTACTTCACATTTGAATTAAAATATATTTTATCAAATATTTTATTTAAAATGGTGAATATTTAAAATATATTTCAGCGCTTGTTTGTTTGTTTGTTTCTTCTGGCATGAACTAATTTATATAATAATATTTAATTATAATTTATGCACATGCTCGAGTGCGCTTAACAATTTGTCTATCCTCTATCTAAACTTCTTGGCAACTTTTGCAACTCTTGCTGCTTTAACTTTTGTGAGCTTTCGCTCGGAGCTCTGGCAGTTCTCTATAAAGCTTTACTTAAAAATTAAATTCTCGTTAATTGCAAGCAGCTTTGCGTAGTCTTTATGACCCCACTTTGAGAAAGAGCAAGCAAAAAGAAAGGCAAAGTGAAATGTTGAATAATGAAAATGAAATGGCAAAGCGACGCACATTTTGCACACATTTCAATTTGATTTTGTTTATAAATTTTAATTGGCTTTGCTTTGGGTAACACGCGGCGTATGCGCGATGTCTTCGAAGCACTAAAGC